TCCTCAACCTTTGAGTCTGTACTAACTAACATAGTTTCAATTTTATTTATGAGCTTAGTGACAGCAGTTCTATTCATACTTCTAGCAGCAGTATATTTTTCCATTTTATATCAATTTCAAATTCAATATTTTTACTAACAAGTAAATCAACATTTTTCGCTCACCTTTTCAATCGGTATCCCGGGTTGCGGCACCACTGTGAAATTTCAAAGATGAGCGATCGATTAAACAATAAAATTTTTTTTATTTCAGTTCATTAGGTTTACAACTGCCTTCAATGGATTCTTCGAACAAACTAATTTTTTGTTTACATTATGAGAACGCCATCTAGAGGCATTCCGCGACATACAGATCCTGTGCACAGTTTGCCTACAGCCCTCAAAACCTATCAGCAATTTAGTAGTTTAAGTGTATTGAGTTAATCACTTTTTAAAAGCTTCATTTTTAATATTTTAAATTGCCTGATAAACCAATTAAAAAAGTATGCTAGCCTATACAGATAATTCTGGAAGATATACAGATGATTCTGGAAGATAAAACTCTTTTTTTTTTCGTGTGCCAAGTTTTTTAATTGATACATGGTGCATAGCGTTTTTAAAAAGTACTTAAAGGTGTTTATTTTCAATTTTCATTTTTTAAAAGCCTTTAAAGGTGCAGTTTTCATTGGGTATTTTTAAGAAGTTCTTAATTTTTCCTTTTTGAAAATGAGTTTTTTTTTTTCCTTGTCCATTTTTTTTTTTTTTTTTTTACAATGTCAATTTTTGCCACATATTATGCAAAAGCGTGCTTTTTACTTTGTTGTATCTAACAGTTTCACAATTCATTCAACAACAATAGATTTCGGTGTACCATTGATCCATAGCGTATGAAAGCGCTAATAATTTTTCATGTTTGATGAAATACTTGAGAGTCGGCATGTGCGTCTACTGAGCTGGGTTCAGTGAGATTATAGCACTCTCATGTGCAACTCAGCTGCATTTTGCTCATTTAAATTCAGGCTGCGATATCAAACTGAAAAATCTCTTGATCATTTTATGGTGGCTAGTATAATCAAGAAAAGAGTTCTTTGTCAGAAACTAATTATTTTATCATGATTATGTAAAGTCTTTGAAAATTATTTTGCATTTTATTAATGTACAAAGTGCTTAAATATAATAATATGATATGATAACTTTCAAAGACTTTACATGATCATGATAAAATAATTAGTTTCTGACAAAGAACTAATTATTTTATCATGATCATGTAAAGTCTTTGAAAATTATTTTGCATTTTATTAATGTACAAATTGCTTAAAAATATTTTTTTAGTGCTTCAAAATTACTTGAAAGGTGCTAATTTTTGGTTGAAGGATTTGGCTACTCACTCTGTGATAGTTTTTCTGTGTTTGTAAATGTTTTAACAAAAGCTGACAAAGCTCATTTCTTAATATTCCAGAAACTCAGTTTTGTGCTTCATAGTGCGAAGACATTCCAGAACAGAAGTTTTCTTCTTTTGAGAGGATCAATGTTAAATAGTGTTAGGTCAATGACTGCAGTGTATTGGCCAAATTAAAGTATTAATCATTCCTGTGAGAGAATATTCTGCCACATAACAAAAATCCAGACTTATTCAGTTCTTCTCGATCAAAACGAACTTTAGGGAGTAAGAGTAGGAAGGCAAATCAAAATGTGCTTCAGAAAAATATGCATATAACCTTTTTGAAAATGTTAAGTCAGTCATTTAATCTGTTTTATAAATATAAATTAAATTATTATTTTGTTAGCAAAGTACTCTGCTATGCCATGATCACAAGAAGTCTCTGACTCTTTGAGCTCTTGATGTTGGCAGGCCTGGAATAAATTTAAAATGATTTTTATACTCTTACTTTAAAAAAAATTTAAACATAGGTAATTTGCTATGTTGTCGCTGTTTATTTATCTCATCTACTTATTTCCTAATTCATATTCAATTGAAAGAAATCTATTATATATATATAACACCGAACTGTAAGNCAATTGAAAGAAATCTATTATATATATATATATATTATAATGAAACCTCTGGGGAGCTACTCTGTTCCACAGTAAAATGATCGTTAATGGAGGTTGGTTGTTCTTAAGGGTTACCTCCATTGCCTTCAAAATGTTATTGAACGTGTATAATTGCCACTTGAATTGGTTTTTTGAAAACCGGATCGATGAATAAAATTTAGGGTCAATAAAAATTATCCCTACTGTAATTATGTGTAAAAACAAATTTACCAGTTATGAGGAATAGAATTATTTTAAATAAATAAGCAATAATGTTTTTTGTTTAAATTTGCATTTAATTATGCAACAAAAAAATTAATTAGCTTCAAAAAAATAGAAGAGGTTTGTTTGTGATGCTTAGTTTTTTCTTAAATAATTCTTTTTTTCTAATTTAACTTTCAACTCTAAAATTAAATTATTGATAGCATCGTTTTGAGAACACTCTGACTGCAACTTGAGGTTATAGATAATCTTATAAAATGAGCTCACTAAATAGGAGCTTCACACAAATATTATGAATGCATTTTAATTTACCGTAATTTCGCGGAGATAGGCCGCGGCGTTATTGATTTAAAACTTGAAAATTTAGTAGGAAGGCGTATCTAATGGGGCGGCTTATATAGTATTACTTTTTTTTCTTCAAAAAATTTTGCTTTTTAGAAACCGCACTGGAATTTTTATCTTCATTTTTTCCACCTGTTACTGTACTTTTTATTTATTTTTTAATGCTTAATGTCACTCCAAGGAATGGTTAGCGCACCTGGAATTTTCCCCTCCCTAATCCTTTCTTGGAATCATTTTCTGGAGACCACTATCCACAAGAGAACAAAGTCTCTCTTTCCCTTCTGCCATATGGACAGCTGTTGAGTGTATGAAATGGGCGTGGAATGGAGAAGCATAAATCAGAAAAGAATGAATGAAAAAAATCAGGACGGGACCAGTGATAACATAACTGTAAAGCAATCGCTCCCCCACAGGAAATATGACTCTTCATTCTTTCCAGGAAATATGACTCTTCCACTTGTCATGGATGCCTCTCTCCACTCCCCTTTTTTCCTCAGCTGGTTGTTAAAAACATGTGAATGTTTGGTAAATAAAGCATGCGGATGAGCTTGGAATGACCTTCAGTAATCTTACAATTAGAATGTTCAAAAAGAATTTCAATCTTTCCACAGAGGGTCAGTGCAGAGGAAAAAAAACAAAGTGTGTGAGAATTTTAGACAAGGATAAAAGAAAGACCGTCCTAGGCGGAGGCAGTTGAAAAAAGAAACCTGATTTGAGAAGCGAAAATAGGGGAGGAATTGCTAAAAATAGAAACTTGTTTTAAATGCTTGGGAGAGAGCTTTTTATTGTTTTTTTTTTTCATTGCTCATATTTCTGTCTGATTTCGATCATCTTCCTCAGCTTATTATTATTAAGTTTTTTTATTGTTTTATCTTCAGTTCTGATGCGGTTTTGTTTTATTAATTTTTTTCTTTTCTTAATATATTTGTTTCGTTTATACTATTTTCGTTTTGTTTTAACATAACTTGTATTTAAGTTATCCATTTTAAATGCCTCCCATTAAGAGGAAAAATTATACCGCTGCGTTTAAGCTGTCAGCAATTAAAAGAGAAAAAGAAACTGTGATAACTGGCTTCAAAAGAACGGAAATCATCCCGGGACAAACGAAACCCAAAGTGACGGAGATTAACCCGAAATAAACAATTAAATAGTAAACCTAATTTGCTCTGATACAGCGAGTTCTGATTTTGAGGAATTTTTAAGTGCAGTGATATGAATATATAGTGATACGTGATATCTAAATAAATTATTCTTAAGTTTTTCTTTGAACAAAATTTGTTTGGATTTATCGTTTATTTCTAAAACAGGATTTTGGATTGTTAATTTAAAAGTAAAATCGTTTTATTTTTAAAAAATTTCATACTTATTTTAATGGTTTATGATATATTAATTATTTTATTTATATTTTAATGGTTACTTCACTTTAAAATTAGAAAATGCTTAATTTTACTTAGAAAATTATTAAAATCTATTTTATATACTAGGATTGTTTCTATTTTTTTTTAATATTTAATATCCTTTTATTTATTTTTATTTAACTATTTAAATTATATACATATGCATATTTAGAGCATGTGTTAAGCCTTTAATCAATACCTGCTTTAAGTTCAAAATTCTTTAATTGTTAAAAATTCGGCGCGGCGTGTACGATGGTGCGGCATGTCCGGTGAAAAGCTTTTTTCTGTCAGTCGATTTTTGAGGGAGCGGCGTATATACCAGGGTGGCGTTTCTCCGCAAAATTACGGTACTTATTTGTTTTCTTAATATTTTTTTCCGTGTTTCCTTATTTGATTTTTTCCGCTTTTGGTGTAAGGGTTTGCCCGGTCGCTGTTAGAGGTCTTGATGGTCTTTCCTAACGATTTTCTTTAACACAAAGTCTATGGTAAAAATTTCGTTCCGCCCAAAAGTCGTCGTAAATGGAGGTGGTCTTTCCTGGAAGTTTCACTGTGTATATTAATACATACACACATATACACTATGAATGATGAAATACATAGGAATCCACATATGCATCTACTGAACTGGGTTCAGTGTGTTTCTTGCACTCTCATGTGCAATTCTGCTGCATTTTGCAAGATATTCTCAATTTCAGGCTTCATTTTCCACCCTCTGATATTGAACCGAAAATTCTCTTGATCTTTTTATAATGGCTTATATAATCAATATAATTTCTTTGTCAGAGAACTAGTTATTTTGTCATGATCATGTAGTCATTTAAAATTATTTTGCATTTTGTTATGTATATAGTGCTTAAAAGTAATTTTCTAGTGCTTAAAAAGCACTGAAAAGGTGCTTATATTTTTGCTGAAAAATTTGGCTACGTACCCTGTATTATTTTTTTGAAGAAATATTATTTTAGGTTATTAACTCATTAAAAAATGTTGTTCTGAACATTAATTATAATTTTATCCTTACTTTTTACAGCTATGATCGGACTATGCAGGATATTGTCTTTAAATTAGTCCCCAACCTTCAACAAAGTAAGTTTTTTTTTGTTCATATGTACTTATTGATACTTGATATTTCACCTCCTCCATCCCTAGGAAGGCTTATCTTAGGTATATACAAGATCAATAATTATATAGTGTTTTAGCTATTCCTCTTTTTCATTTTGTATATGCTTTTCTTTTTTGCTATGTGCATAATACATTATTTATAACAGTGTTTAAATTTGCTATCTACAATGTATACTACTTCTGTTTGGTGTAGAACTATTACCACTTCTAAATTTAAATAGTTCTGATGACAGTTTCAGCCAAGTTTTTCTAAATTAAATTTACAGTTAACAAAAAAAAAAGTCAGAAAAAAAGCAGATCATTCTTTTAAATTAATTGTTAGATTTTCATTCTATAAAATGCAGGGTTTGTTTATTTAAATCAGCTTGATTTAAATCAAAGGATTTTTTTTTTAAAAAATCATTGATTTGAATCAACTATTTTTTTTTATCTATATACAGTAGGGAACCGATTATCCGGAACGATATGGACCATTNTCTTTTTTATCTATATATATTGATTTTAAAAGTTAAAAAACAGTGTTTTAAATTTTTGATACTTTTATTATTTTCTTTTTTAGTATTAAAATTTAATTTTAATAAATTGCTGCATTAATTATTTTAGTTAACGAAATTACTTTCTTTCTTGGTGTGTGTTAAATTCCAACACATTTAAAATTACATTTTTAAAAATCTTTTGATTCTTGAGAGTGAAAGTACAGATTGAAGTAAACATTGAATGCTGTCTTAATATAGACTTGCATAGCTGTAGATAGTAATTAATAAACATAAATTTTTTTCAAAAAATAATACAAATAATGTTAATTAAAATTCTACGTTTTGAAAGAAAAAGCGTGAATTAAAATCTGCATCATATTTTGTTGGTGGAAGATGTATATTTCTGAAGCTTGAGGTTATATTAAAAAGAAATTACCCTAATATGCCAAAAATAGAAAAAGTGGAAAAAAAAGGCTGATGAATTCAGTTGTTTTTTTCCTAATATAGTTTCATTCTTCCCTTTCAAAGTCTATTTGAAGCAATAAGGTAATTTACTGGTATTTTTTTCTCATAATATTGTTACATTATCTTTGACATTATCTGATTTTATATATAGAAATTTTGTGAAAAAAATTCCAATGAGTACATAGATTTTCTATTTTTATTCTTTTAGCTTAACTTATCTATTTTGATATAGAATTAAAAATGAATATTTTAATTTAAAAATATGTAGATTAAATATTTATTTATTTTTTGATGAATGTCTACATTTTTAAACGCAATCTGTTACATTTATTTTGTCATTTTAAAAATCAAGAAAAAAGAGAAGAAATCACAATTTTAAATTAAAATTATGGTTTACTAATTGAAACTTTGATTTAATAGTGATAGTACAGGGATCTATCCAAGCCAAATTTACTACCGTTTGACGGTACCTTTACAAATTCAACTTTAGGAAAAAGGATAGAATAATTACACAAAATACTTTTTCTTAAAATTTTATTTTTGTGTCTTGTAAGAAATGATAAATCCATATTTTTACTATATTTGTGTTGATTTTTTAATATAATTTTTAATTTTCACAAAATAGGTACCTCTCAGAAAAACCCAAACAGATCACTGAAGTATTCATTAAATTCTCTATTTCATCTAGTCTTTAAATTTTAATCATGCATTTGTTTCAAAATGGTTGCTATGCATTCAAAGCCATGTATTATAAGGAAAAATTATTTTAGTTAGAGCTTCTAAAATATTGTTACAATATAGTTTTAATATTAAGTTAATTTTGATTAAACATTTATAATTTTTTTTAATCATAAATTAAAGTTCTTTCAGTGTATTTGAATAAAAATCAAAAAAATCTGATTTAAATCAAAAAATTCGATTTAAATCAGAAAAATCTGATTCTTTTGATTTTTTTTTTTAAAAAAAATCACGAACCCTGATAAAATGTGGTATGGTAATCTCTCTGAGAAATCTTTTATACTATATAAATCAGTTAATTGTAGTGGAATATACTTATTTTGATAAAAAAACTTTTTTTTTTTTTTTTGCTGATACATATTCAGACGTGCCAACTCTCCCGCATAATGCGGGAGTCTCCCGAATTCTTTATTCTTCTCCCGCCCTCCAGAGTTGTTTCGAAAAGCTCCCGAATTTTACCTCAATTGACGGCCAACTTCAAAATTACCTGATTTTTCAGCGAGTGTGTAAGTTTTTTCCCCCGCAAGAATTCCATCCCCTCTTAACAAACTACCATCTGCCTAAAGCGTAGCTGCAGGTGCTTCATCCCCCCCCCTCTTTAACACTCCTATTTGACCTGCCCCCTTGCACTAGGATTTGTCGGAATCTTCCTCTCCTTTCCTGTGGAGTTGAATGCGATGACGATATGCAGTGACGTCAGTACCGGAGTGGATATTCTTACTCTCGATAATTGGAATCGATATTGTATCTTGCTGTTTTTATAATTTTTAGTGCGTATTTTTCAACGGTTGGCAACAATTGGATCATTCTTTTTTTCAACCGTTGGCAACAAACTTGTAAGCTGGTTTGTTTACCCAAACAACGTGATTTTCGTTATTCGTTTAGTTTTCATATATTTTTTAAAAATGTCTAAATCGAAACGGAAGTATGTTACCAATTTTAACAAATCATATACTAATGAGTTTCCTTCAATAATTGCATCACGTAAAGGAAGCACATATGCTTTTTGTTCCGATTGCGCATGTGATATATTAATTGTTCACGGAGGCAAGAATGTCATTTTGTGGCACATAAATGAGCACGAACACAATCTGCCCATTAATTGTGCTGACCATGCTGGACTATTGTTCCGCAAGATGTTTCCGAACGATGGTATCGCCAAAAAATGTGCTGTTTGCAGAACAAAAACAACAGCCATTATAAACAAAATGGCTACTATGGAAAAAGAATCTGTTGTAGAAATTATCAAAAAAAGTCCATTTTCAGTATCAACTGATGGTAGCAACAAGTCTGATGCAAAATTGTATCTCCTTGTTGTTACATATTATAATGAGAAAAGTATGATAATTGAGAGCACTTTAATGTCTGTGCCAAATTTAGAAGGAGACTCAACTGGCATAAATATTGCCAATTTGATTTTAAGAGAATTGAATGCAAATGATGTACCATTTGAAAATTGTCTTTCTCTTGGGGCAGATAAGGTGCCAGTTATGATTGGCGAAAAAACTGGCGTCGCTGGTGTTTTAAAAAAAGAAGTTGGACATTTGGCAGTCATTGGTTGTGCTTGTCATTTGATAAATTTGGCTGCCCAAAAGGGAGCAGTTGTCATTCCTGACAAGATAGATGAATATCTTTTAGATATATTTTTCTATTTGGAGAAAAGTGCCAAAAGGAAATCCAGGCTTCAGGAATTTCAATCTTTGTTTAATGCTGAGCAAAGGAAAATCCTGAAGCATGTGTCTACCCGATGGCTGTCATTGGGATGGTGTTTGGATAGATTAGCGCAGCAGTGGGAGCCACTAGCATCATTCTTTAAAGAAGTGAATGGCCAACATTGTAGAAAAAGGAAGCAAGATTCTACCCCTCCTCCTGCTACATCAGAAAAATTTAGTGTTGCAAGGCAGAGCATATTGAGTAGAGAAGAAAAGATTTTCCTCTTTCTCTCTTCAGATTTAANAAAAAAATGGCGGGAAAATTTCTCGAATTTCGTTCCGGTTTTCTGATTTCCGGATAACGGGTTCTGTACTGTATATTGATTTTAAAAGTTAAAAAACAGTGTTTTAAATTTTTGCCAGAGTAGAGAGAATTTTTGAGTAGAGAAGAAAAGATTTTCCTCTTTCTCTCTTCAGATTTAAATAAGGCCTTGTGCCAATTTATTCTTAATGTTTTGCCAGTATTTGAGGTATCAAATGTGACACTGCAATCAAGCACACCCCGAATCCATTTGTTGAAGAAAATTTTGATGGATATGTTGAAAGAACTGTTTTCAAGATTTGTCAAGCCTAGTGCAATAAAGTCATGTTCTCTTTTAAATCTTGATTTCAGTAAGTTGGAGAATCAAAAGAGTGATACTGATTTTGTTACAGGAGAGAGTGCTTGAAAGATTTTGGAAAATTTACCAAAGAAGAAAATTTTTTTCAAAACTGTATGTTTGTACTATATCAATGTTTGTGACTACATGGTAAAAAAACTTCCATTTAAGGATGAAATTTTAATCAATGCTGAAGTGGCGCTCTTGAGACAATTGATCAAGCCTCATTTTCATCTGTAAAGTATTTTCTGGAACGTTATCCTATGTTACTTTCACCTAACACTGGCAATATTTCTAGTGTTGATATTTTGCAAAGGCAGTTTTGTTCCCTGCAACTTGAGACAATACCTCAAGAAATCCTGACAGAACGAATAGATAAGGCTTGGGCCTTGATTGGTCAAATGAAGGATGCAGGAGGAAACAACAGATTTGATTTATTATCTAAAGTGATGTTAGGTATTCTCACTCTTCCTCACAGTAATGCTGCATGTGAGAGAATATTTAGTTTTGTCACTAAAAATTTTACACAATTTAATCAACCATGTCAGCACAAATGCTTGAAAAATTGTTGATGCTAAAATCAACAATGAAAGGAAATTGTCACAAACAGGACTTTAGCAGGACTTTGCTGCGAAGATTTAAATCTGCAACTGTTAATTCTTTAAATTCCGTGTGAAATGTGTTTTTAATGTTTTTATTTCAAAGCTAGTGGTTCATATTTATGTCATATTTAAATTTTTTTTTTATTTGTTTATAAAATAACCTTTTTAAGTTTCATTCATTTTCTGTATTTTTTGAACATAACATTTCAATTTATTTAACAGTTAATAATTAATTTAACAGTTTAAATAATTTTATTTGCCCTCGGTCATTTTTTTTAACTAGTTAAATTTTTTATACATACTGACATTAGTTTTGAGTTGGTTTTTTAAAATAAAAGAGTTCTTCGATTTATTAATTTTTTAAAAGTTTTT